GATTGTTGTCACTGTCAGAAAATTTCTCCTTATTTCCAGGTTGAATCGCTCCTTGATCAGTTTCCATCCATTATTCCTTATCTGGCCTTCAGGTGCTTTGGAAAATAGCTTGACCCTCTCCTCTCTGTGGCAGCCCCTCAAACATTGGAACACTGCTATCATGTCTCCCCTGGTCCTTCTCTTCACTAGACAAGCCATGCCCAGTTCCTGCAACCGTTCTTCATATGTTTTAGTCTCCAGTCCCCTAATCAGCTCTCCTCTGCACTTTTTCTAGAGTCTCAAGCACAGGTGGGTTTCTGCCAGTTCACCCTGGATCAAGCGTACCAATAGTGGTGGCGGCTGGAGGCTCCGCCCACCCACCCACCCAGACACTTCTGTGCATGCGCAGAAGCATCAGAACAGCGAGCCGATAGTAAAATAAATTGAAATCCACCACTGGTCTTACTAGGGCTTTACAGAGTGGTATTAGTACCTCACTTGATCTTGATTGTATCCCTCTGTTAATGCAATTTAGGATTGCATTGGCTATTTTGGCTGCCGCTGCATAAATCTTTGCATGTCCTATGCAAAGATTTAGAATATCAAGAAGCTTAGCTCTATAGAAAGAATGACTATAACTTTTGTCTTCGTTTATCCTGCCAGGCAATATTTAAGATGATTCCTCCAGAAGAACAGAAAAGCCTGCCTGACGATGAAAACACTCCCCAGAAACGGGCTGACAAGCTGTGGGCATATTTTGGCAAGGGAGATGCTGGTAAATTTGCCTTTCATCGCCTACCCCGACTACTGATTGCTACTAATGATAGAACTTTACTTTATAGATCTACATATAAAACAATGCATACCTGTTCCATAATAGCTTACTTTGGAGGAAGAACTTCGACTTATTTTGTCTTTTCAACCTGAGGGGCCCAAAGCCTCTCAGAGGTTGAAGGGTAGACTAGAACCCGTGTCTTCTTCTCATAACCCAACACTTTTGATGGGAGCAGGAGAAGGTGGCCTCTTTGAGTAACTGATTTCAGTAACAAGAAGTGCCTTTGATTAATGTTGCTAGTATCAAGCAAATTTCCCATGTGGGATGTGGATTCTGATCAGAACCGGCTCAGGCCTTCTAGAAGCAACGTCTGTGCAAAAGGTTAAACCCAAATAACCTGATAACTCATTATAATCTGGCAAACACACCTCCTGAATATGCAGTTAGGCATTGACAAGTAAGAATATTATGGGATAATATGAACAATTACATATAAAGTTACTAAGCATGCTCTGTAGATGCTTGATGATTCAGATTATTTTGGCCAATTGAAGAACACAATGCAATCCCAGTATGTTTGAACTGTATATAAAGTGACCTTTTTCTCCTTTAAGGGCCTCTCACCTTGTATCTGTGGGAGACCTCTCACCTCAGTGGTGGGATACGACCGATACGCCCCGGTACGGGTGTACTGGTGCCTGCTGAGAGCACCAGGTATTATTCTGGTATGGTGCTGCGGAGGGCCCACATGTCCGCCTGCCCTACTTACCTTTATTTCAGCCGATCGGAGCTTACGTGCACGGAGTGTATGGTGCCTGCGCGACGCTCCGCCAAGCAGCTGGAGCATTGCAGAGTGTTGCGGGCAGTACGTATGTATGTGCGCATGCTGCGCGCCTGCATGTGGTGGACGCCCGGCCCCGTTGCATCATACCGGTTGCAACGGGATCTGGAACCCACCACTGTCTCACCTCCTCATAAATTTCCAGGGTTGTGCAATAAAAGCCCATTCTGGCCTATCTGGAAATTATGGATAGTCAAGAATTAGCTCTCATATTATATTTAACCACTTGGTTTCTTAACCACAGTAAAACCGCAATTAAGCATATAAATTTAATATGGTCAACAAATTAGGTGGCTTCAAAAATTTTAGCAAGAGGTTCTCTGCTGGTTGCTGGGTGGACGTGGCCTAATCAGCGTCCTGCACCATGGCAGAAAGGGGGGGGGATTTTTACCCTACCCAGGCTCCAGAGGCATTCGGCAAGCCTCCAGGAGGGTGAAAATAGCCTCTCCAGGCTCTGGAGGCCCTATGGAAGCCCATTTCCGGCCTTCCCAAACTTCTGATAGGCCCCTTTTCGCTCTCCCTGAGCCTCCGTGCACCCTCTGCACTTACCTGCCGTGTGGGGACTCCTGGGAGGGAAGTGGTGGGTGGGGCCAGCCAGGAGTGAAATTTGGGGGTTCTCCAAATTGCAGAATCTTAGCTAGAGGTTCTCCCGAACCCCTGCGAACCCCCAGCAGCCACCTGGTTTCATGCTATTCACTACTCCAACTCAAAGAAATCACATTATAATTAGATGTAATGTTTGAACTCAATGAGTACAATTTTAATCAGATTAGTCTGAACTGAATTCACCATTACTGATTCTTCCCAAAAATATTTATCGAATTAGCTCCAACCATTTTTTAAAATTAGGCCCACTTCTGAATTGCATTTAATATTTGCATAACATGGAATGGGAAAGGGGTGGGGGTGGCGAGAGTTCACCATCCCGAAAGCTTTTTTATACCTTTTCCCAAGATTACACACCCTTTCTCCAAGACAGCAACCATCATCAGAGCCGTGATACCAGTATCTGGGCTGCAGGAATCTGAAGGACCAGTATGATACCCCAGCAGGACAGAGGCACAGATGGCAGCAGAGATGCTTTGCTACCATCTAGTGGCTACCTGAAATTTTGCAGCCCAGATATGGTAGCTCTATTGTAGTTTCATAATCACAAATGTTCGCAAATACAGGAACGTGTGAAACATCCATTCCAGGTGATATTGTCAAAATCTTCCACTTTTCTGTTCCACACTCAGCTATCTCTTGCTCTGCACTGATTTAAAATCCAGGATCTATTTTTTTAAAAAATGGCAACTGTCTTCGCTTAAAAGCATTTCAATAATTTGTATTATGAATCTCTTAACCTCTACTTGTTATCAATGAATCCTCATTGATTCCTTCCTTATATTTTGGGGAGAGGGGGGAGTTATAGCAATAGCACATAGACATATACTACTTTAAACCCTCTCTAAGTGGTTTACAGAGTCCGCATATTGCCCCCAAAAATCTGACTCATTTTACCGACTTCAGAAGGATCAAGGCAGAGTTAACCTTGAGCCTGGTGAGATTTGAACTGCCAAACTGCAATCAGCTGGCAGTCAGCAGTAGTAGTCTGCAATACTGCATTGTAACCATTGTGTCGCCATGGCTCATGACTTTTAGTCCCTTTAATTTGGAGTGAGTTCAGGATGACTGGGTAGAGCTGAGCATTAACTAGCCAGATGCCCTTACTGATGCCTGTATGGTGTTTGCAGCAGATATTTTCTCTTTATGAGAAGCAACACCTAGGTCCGAACTTCCAAGTGGGAGGTGAGTGTCTTCACCACTAGGCCTTTGCCCCACTCCATTCCTTATATTTCATGCTATCTAAATAATCATTTAATTGTAACCATTGGTTTTGTTTTTGCAGACAAAATTGCTGAAAAGGAATTCATTGAGGGAGTGATGAAGAATGATGCAATAATGCGCCTCATCCAGTATACCCCCAAGGAAAATAAATAAGGGCTTCCAACGTGGGCAGGAAGCAAAAAGGCAGGGATATGAAAAAGCAGCATGTGATGAACAGGCAGGGGGAAATTCAGTAAATGTCTCTATTTATGTATCATATGAAAGACAAAATACAATTCCAAGGCAGTAGTCCTTTTCTCTCTCTCCTAGTACCATTACTTCTTCTGTTAGCAGTAGCAGTCAACCCATATTTAATCTTGCGGGTTTCTAGAATTCTTCAAAGAAGGATGGAAAGCAGTTTTGGAAACTGTGACCCTGAGCTGTATTATTTGTAGAAAGAAAGAAAAAGAAAATAGCAATATGATAAACTGAGGGCCTGAGATCTCTTCATTCCAGAAATCACCTGAAAAATCCAGTATCTGTGGGGTTCTTGCTGCTCTTGGTGGACTTCTCGCAGACATTTCATTACCAAACCAGGTAACATCATCAATAGTAGAAGGGAGTGGGATTTGCAAATGTTCAACTGTGAGTTACAAATATTCTCTTCTATTAGTCCACTATCTGCTAACCTATTTTAAAACTCAAATACAGCAATTGGAACCAGTTCCCTTCTGTAATACATAAATAGCATTTATGAGCGAAAGAGCCCAGGTCTTAACATACTGGTGCTCCGATCTCCATTTCTTGTGACTTCACAGCCCACATTTATCAATAAAGTCCTTAACTGCCATTTTTCAAACAGCAAATATAGACACATCATATTGGAGAGTTCTTGGTGTCTCTTCAATTAATTATTCCTAAGACCTTTATAGGGAAAGAATGTCAGTGGAAGTCATATACGGGTAGACCTCAACTCAGAACAATTCATTTAGCAAGCATTCAGAGTTTCAATGGCACTGAAAAAGTGATTTATGACAGGTCCTTGCAATTACAATCATCACAGCATCCCCATGATCATGTGATCAAAATCCAGGCACGCATGGCAACCAACATGTGCTTAGCAGTGTTCTGATGCCCCGTAATCACTACTTGAGACCTTCTCAGCTGCGAAGTCAATAAGGAAAGCCAGATTCACTTAATGACTGTGTGATTAATTGCAGTGGTTCACAACTGTCACAAAATCGAGCGTGACTACCTTAACAATTATTTTACTTAGCAATGGAAATTCTGGCCCCAGTTGTGGTGATTAAGTCGAGAACTACCTGTAAAACCAGATTACATTGATCCACCCTTAAATGCTACCGGTCCCAACTTAAAGATGCTGACAGCTGAGTTGCAAAATATGTTTCCTCAAAAGTAGCATTCAGACCAATGGGACTCACCTGCTACTAATTACTGATGTATTTCTTTTGATCGATATTTCTGCACATGTGAAAGATTTATCAGCATAAGCAACCTTCTCTGTTAAAGATTAATTTTCTTTTCCTCTGCCTTCCCAATGGTGCATTTAAAACGTGCATTGACAATCTTCCCTCCAGCTTTATTTAGCAGAACAGGTAGCCTGGATACCCCCATCATCCTGGAGATATTTATGCATTTGTTTCTTCCCTTCATTTCTCACATTGGCATTATTTCTTGTTTATTTAAGAAATGGGTTACTTTTCAGTGGTGGGTGTAGAGCTTTAATGTAATAAAATAGGACACATTCAAAATCGATGTGTGTTTTTCAATAAAGGCTGCAGAGTTGAAAGGAATATCCACCAAGGAGAATATTCACAAATCAACTGACAGTGGATATTTGGTAGCTGCAAGGTATCTCAACAGTGGGCTGCGTATCACAGAATATTTAATAGTGCTGCACCAAGCTCACTTCTAGAGAACAATGCAAATTATTTTATTATAGAATCACGCCATAAGCTCCTCAATAAAATTGTATGATGGTTTCTAAGGACAACCGAGGACAACTGACTGTCCTCTGGATATCTTGGACCGCATCCCATCCTCTGTGAAAGGGCTGGCTGAAGACAAAGGACTCCTAGTACCAAACATGTGGAAAACAGCCAGTTGAGGAAAAAATGGCTTGGAGCAACGGTCTCCAACCTTGGAAACTTTTAAGACCTGTTCACTTCAGTTCCCAGAATTCCCCAGCCAGCATGTCATGCCCATGACCGGCTGGGGAATTCTAGGAGTTGAAGTCCACAAGTCTTAATGTTGCCATGGTCGGACATCTCTGATTTAGAGCCTTTCTCCATTTTAATCTCAACGTGGCACAAATGTGCTGTGCCCCGCACAGGAATTGTCTCCTCATCATTCCTATGATTGAGACAACGCTGCTTAGCTGTCCTGGTATTAAGGCATTACATGTAGCCCTCAACGTATTGCAGTTCATTTAGGGACCATACCAGGGGTGAAATTCAGCATTCTGACAGGTTCTGGAGAATCAGTAGTGGAAATTTTGAGTAGTTTGGAGAACCAACAAATACCACCTATTGCTGGCCCGAGTAGGGTGGGAATGAAGATTTTTGCAGTATCCTTCCCCTGCCACGCCCACAGAACCGGCAGTAAAAAGTTTTGAATTTCACCACTGAAATTTCACATACAAAGTTACACTTACAAAAAAGTGACATGGCTTTTTTTTCACTCTTATGACCGTTGCAGCATCCCCATGGTCTCGTGATTTACATTTGGGTGCTTGACAACTGACTCGCATTTATGACACTTGCAGGGTCCCGGGTCCTGTGATCCCCTTTTGCGACCTTCTGACAAGCAGACAACGGGGAAGCCAGATTCACTTAACAGCTGTGTGACTAATCTAACAATTGCAATGATTCACTTAACAAAGGTGGCAAGAAAATTTTTAAAATGGGGCAAACTCACTTAGCAACATAAATTCTGGGCACAATTCTGGTCATAAGTCAAGGATTACCTATATAGCCCACCCTCTTCCAGCACTGTCCAAGAACAGCATCAAGGGATTAAGATGTATCAGGATCTATCACGTCTTGTGGAGGGTAGCTCAGCAGGCTGTGTTGATGGCAAACAGAGGTTGGGTGGGCCAAGATAGGAAGACTTTAATGCAACCTTTTTCAGTTCCAACTGCAGGCATATGGATATGTTTCCTCAGAACATAAACATACATTTTGATTGGGGGAGGGGGTTTCACCCATCTTGGGAGCGTCTCCACTTTAAACTGGGCTACTCGATGAGCCCAAATAACCACAAATGGATTATAGCTTCGTCATCTGCAAGGACCTACAAGATCTCAATGTTCTGCCTCTCCTTGCTTTAAATGCCTTTCGGTTACCCTCAAATATCCTTGACCCCTCAACAATATTACTATCCCAGGCACCACTGGATCACTCACACACACAGTCTGAGTTTGATCTACCACAGCAAGATCAGAAGCCACCAACATTTAGCAGAGCTTTTCCAGATCTAAAGAAATTAAGGATAGTTTTGCCTTATTTTCACCAGCTTAATTTTATATTTTAAATTTTATGTGACATAGTATGCCCTATTTTAATTGTGACGATTTTGACACAAATAAACAAAGCTTAGCTCATGGCTGCCTCCTTACAGTTACAAATTCCCGATCTAGGCAGTCTTTTTTTAGATTTGTCCAGCTAAAGGTTCTAGAATGAAGTAAAACTTTCAACATGGAGAGCCAGCCCATTTTATTTTCCTTCTCCCTTTGCCCTTGAAGCTATTAAAGGCACTGAACTTATGCCATTTGCTAACCCAATTTGGGCCTTTCCAAAGCTTTATGTTGTCCTTACAGAAGAAAGATTTTGTAGGTAAGGCAGGGATTATGTAAGCAGGCTTGTCCCATCTTCTTCCAATGAGTTTTAAACGTAAGCAAGTTAAGAGTTGATCCGCACTAATCCACCTGTGCATAGTAAACATGGTTGTAAGGAGCTTGTTATAGTCAGATAAGACAAGGTTTAGAGAAAAGGCACAGCCAATCCTTTCCACTCTGAAATTCCACATGACCAGCACTCCTACCAGCCTCTTCATCTTGCATATGGCCAAAGATTACCAATGATATTTCTTAAAAACTACAAAGAATATAATAAAACTTCTTCATTCCTTACTTTGACCATAAGTGCCACCTGGTGGAATGACTAAAAATGGAACACAAATAATTGCTCTAGGAGACAGCGTAAACAATGGGTGTTTCATTTCCAAAATGTAGCAAACAAGATTCAAATATACTCAGAACTCGTTTCAATTTATTCCATACTCTGTGGTCTCAAAGATAGGTGAATGAATTCTAGGGGCACCTTCCAGGCTCAAAACACCTTTCATTGAAATTGAGTGAAACTTAAGGAAAACAGAAATTAAAATTTTTGAATTGGGAGTATCTTCAACTGCCACCCAGTTGCAAAACTCATTTGGGGAATTTGAATAAGCCTAACCTACTTTGCAGGATTAGTAGATCGGGGTGGGCAATTATGCCTCATTTATGACCCAGGGACTTCAATTCCCAGAATTCCTGAGACTGCCACGCACAGGAATTCTGGGAGCTAAATACACAGGTTAAGGGGGCATAGTTGTCCATCCATTAGATAATAGTAAGTATATACATTTGTAGNTGTCTACTGCAAATGCAAGAAAATGGAAGCAGAGAGAAAGTGGTACAGAAAAATGAGGGGGAGGAGAAGGAGAGAGAGACGGAGAGGACAAAGGGAAAGTACAGTAGCTCCATTTCAGCATAATCTCCTCCCAGTCAGAAGACCCCTTTCTCATCTTATCCCAGCGTTGCATCTCTTGAAGTATGTTAGGAAAAATGACGCTTCCCACATGTTCATCATTTTGAATAAGAATCAGAATGCTTCACTCTTGAAACCCAGATGCAGGTACCCAAGCAGCAACCTGCATGGCTATTTCTCAAGTGTATTTGAATTTTTCATCTGGTAGTTTCAAATAACTCATGAAATATGGGACATCCATTTCCAATATGCACTTTCCCCTATCAACACCCAGCATCAATATGCTCGATATAGGTGATTCTTGATTTACAATTGGTCACTTAGTGACCAATTGAAGTTATGATGTACCTCTCCAGGGCTACTTATGGCCCAGAATCAATGTTCTGATGGCTGCCCCTCCTGCAG